TCAAGTTTTTATTTTTCAATAAATATTTAATTGCAGAATTTCCGAATAATTGAAAATTTTGCAAAATTGAATTGCAAACGAATGAATTTGAAAATTCTCAAAGAACTTTTTTAAAAATTATTGAAAATAATGGATTTATTGAAGAATTTTAGTTAAAAACACTAGAAAAAAAATTTAATTTTAGAGAAGTTACAAATTATTGCAGAAATTCAATTATTTTCAAGAGTAATAAAAATTTTTACTAATAATAAAACTCATCATAGCGTTTCAATTATTTTTCATACAATTATAATTGAATTCCTTGAAAAAAGTAATTATGTTCATGCAAGTTTTAATAAAATTCGATAAGAGAATTCAATTATTTAAAAATTTGTTAATAAAATTCTTTATGAGAATTGAATTTTGAGAAACATCCAATTATTCAATAAATTATTTACTTTTACATTTAGATAATTAAATTCTTGTTTGAAGTTTTTATTTTCTAATATGCATTTCATTAAAGAATTTAGGAATAATTGAAATTTCGTGAAATTGAATATTGTAAACAAATGGATTTGAAAATTGACAAAGAACTTTTTCGAAAATTATTAAAAATAATTTATATAAAGTAAAATTGTAGTTAAAAATTTTTGAAAATAATAATTGAAATTGAAATAATAAAAATAATTTTCAAGAAGTATATAATAGTCTTAAAATATAAAATAATGATTTTATTATTTGGTCATCTTTATAATTATTATAAAATATGAAGAAATCGATGACTCCGAGTCGAAGACTCGGAGTTATCGATATCTTCATGTTTTATAGTTATAAAAAAATTTAATGAACTAAAATTTCATTCATTGGAAAAAATAACACCACAATTGATTATTTTAATCTTCTTTGGTGTTAATTTAATCTGCAACACTTTTTAATACCTCACGATTTACTGTGCGCTAGATTCTTTTCTCAGTGCAAAAATTTCACATTAATATTATTATTTTACTTTTTTGTAAAAAAAAATGAATTTGCTTTTTATTAGCCGTAAATTTAATACGAAATTGATTATAATATCGACTTGGGGCGAAATTTTGTTGTTGTTGGAAATGCGAACGCTAATGGAAAAGCAAATTAGTTGCAAAAACCTTTTGCCTCGTCACATATGTGTACTCAAAAAAACCTCAGTCCTAACAACAAACAGTGGAATTCAAACCTTCTGCAATTTTATACACTTGAGCTTCTCTCACACATTTTTGTTACTTTTTTGTACCGCTTACTATGGAACTCAAAATAAAACAAAGTCCCCCCTCCCTCTCTTTCTCTTTTATATATATATATATATATATTTAACAAAGAAAACGTGGAATGCAACGTATTCTACAGTTTGATACATACATATATATATGTATAGAAAAAAAAAATATATATATATATTTATTTATATATATACATGTATAGTATGAATGCGGAAAAGGAAGCTCGAGGGTATTGCATTTTCTACTTCGATAGCTCGATTTTTCTCTCTCTCCCTTCCAAGACTGCAAAACCAGTGGAAAGAAGGTATAAGAGGAGAGAAGAGCAAAGGAGCTGTAACAGAAACCCAGGGTAATTGATCTCACCAAGATCGTAGTAAGAGGATACGGAAAATAAAGATGAGAAAGAAGAAGAAAGAAGAAGGAAACGAATAAGACAGAAAGAGTGAAAGAGAGAGGGTGGGAGAGAAAGAAGAAGGGGTACTCGTTTCGTGGACGAGTTCCAAATCCTCATCCCCTTCTTTTTCCCTCATGTACTACACTGAAGAGAGAGAGAGAGAGAAGGGGTTTTCGAACCGGGGGACCGGAACACGAGGGAATACCGCATTGATCCGAACAGATCTGGCGTCCACTAGGATGCCGCACCCGATGTCGCCACTAAAGTTCCGAATTGTCACGAGAAAGAGAGAGGGAAAAAAAATAAGTGTGCGAAAAAAGCACTAAAAGTGAGATGCGCCTTACTCAGTTTTCTCTTGGCCCGAAGTTTTACTTTTGGGAATATTTCAAGGTGCTTGAGAGTATATAACGTTTCTAATGGGACAGTTGGAGATGGATGATTATATACCGCGAGAAGAGAGGTCTTTTAACCCCCTCTAAAAAGAATAAAGAAAAAAAATCACTTCTTCATTACTTATAGGTACTAAATTTTTGCCAAAAATTACTTTTTCTAAAGAGGTGCATGATTAAGCGACAAGGATCAATTTTTTTTGGCATTTTTCAGTGCTTTCACTCGAAAAACCACTGCTATCTAATCAATTTTTTTTTCAAACTCATCGGTCTAGAATTAAATCAAAATTACAAAATAACATAAAGATTAAAAACAATTCTAGAATTTAAAAATTCTGTTTCGGTTTATTAATTATATTTCATATAATATATGAAATATGCTAAACAAAATTTTCTTTAAATATAAATTATTCTTAAAAAAACGAGGGTTGAGTAGAAATTCTGTAGATTGAAAGTTCAGTTAAATAAAAATTCTCGATTAAAAAATTAATCAATTAACCAATTTTAGTAAGTAGAGATTATTTTTCTAAAGTTTTGAACATTCAAATGAATGAATTTTATTTGTTCGAATTTTTAAACAAAATTTTTATTTTTATTAATAAAAACAAATACAAATTAGAAGAAGCAAGAAAAATATTGTCGATTTTTTGAACCGTTCGAAACTTTCGGAACATTTGAAATTAAATTAAAGGTAATTTAAATATTCATAACTATTAAATAAAAATTCTGTGAAATAATTGGAATTTTATAATTAATTTTAAGAATGCTCTCCGTAATATCTAAGCTTAAAATTAAAAAACCGAACTTTCATAAATTCCAAGATGGCGGATTCAATATGTCGGACGATATTTTGAAAATCGATCGGATTGGCATGGAATTTGTTACTCGGGGGTTTTTTGTGGTTATTGATCACAATTAAAAATTCAAAATGACGGATTCAATATGCAGGATGATATTTAAAATTAAAGGGTTAAATAATGAATAAAAAATAGAATTAAAAATAAATTTTCCATCTATAAATAGATTTTATTTCTAAAAAAATAAAGAAAAATAAAAAAATCTTAATCTTTCTTAAAAAAAAAAATGCTCTAAGTATAGCTTATAATTCTTTACTAATTTTTGATAGAACATAACTTTTTTACCCAATCTTTTAATTAACCTTTTATCGTATTAACGATATCTGGTCGACAACAAAGGATACAAAAAAAAGAGGGTGATAAATGTTAGCAAATCCATCACTGTTTCACCTTTTGCCACAATAAAAATCAACTTTACTGTCCAATAAAAGTTGTTTTTATTATGAAATATAATCGTAAACTGAATATACAACAAAATACCGACAATCAAATGCTTAAAAAAAAGTTAAATTGTAAAAAATCACACTACTTTGCTTTTGAGGAAAAATGCGTATTTGTTTAATAACGTATTGAAAAAAATTAGTAAGGATTAAATAAAATTTTATGTGAAAAATATTTCACTATTTTTGCTTCATATAATTTAATTCAAAAAATATGTATGAAATGAAAGAAAACTTCTAGACAAAAAACTTCTTTTGTTTTCTAATATTCTACACGCACAATTATTATATTTACCTAAAAAAATTTGTTCATTTAATCTTTAGTTAATTTCCACAATTTAGTCAATTTCCACCAATTAAAAGTTGAAATTTTATAAACTATAACTAAAAAAATGAAATTAATAAATCCAGAATTTGTACTTCATTTTTTCTAAAAAAGAAAAATTATTACTGAATTGAGAATAAAGTAAGCTCTTTTTTGAAAGAATACAAAGTGAATAGAAAATTATGAATTATTTATAAAAATTCGTAAAGTATTAATTCAGCAAACATTTTTCTTTATTTTGAAAGAAAACTGGAGTTATTGTTAAAGAAATTGTCATTAAGAAAGAGAAATTATGCAAAAATTTTCCCTTTTCTCTAAAAAAAATAATCTTGTTATAATGAAAAAATAATAATTCACAAATCAAGATCATGTAAATATTGTTCATCTTTTTCTATAAAAAACTGAAAGCTTCCCTCTAAATTTGAATGAGTTAAAAAAAACTGATTTAGAAGCAAAAAGTCGGTCACTAATTCAAATTGTAATATTTTTACTAACAATTAGTTAATAATAACTGATTGTCAATTAAAAATATAAATAACTGATGTTTCAGTAAATTTTTTTTTTTGACTGATTTAATTAGTCAAGTTTAACTAAATTTTCAGTTATTTTTTTTTACTGAAAATCAGTTATTTTTAACTGATTCAGAAGCAAAAAGTCAGCCACTGATTGTCAGTTAAAATCATGATATTTAACTGATTCAAATTAAGAGAGTTTGTTGAAAAATTTTCTTTAGAAGTTTTTTATTTGTTTCTAAAAAAAAATTTGATATAAATTAAACAAAATTCAAAGTATTTTTTTAATTAAAAAAACCCCATAAATTCTTAATTATTTTTCAATCAAGCTTTTTAAAGAAATTCTTATTTTTTAGAAATAAATGAAAAAAAATGTCATGACTTTTATATAACTATCACTTTTTAAATTTGAATCACTTAAAATGTTTACTAATTTGAATTAATGACTGACTTTTTACTATTGAATTATAGTAAATTTCACTAATAATATAAATTATTATTCAAAAGCAAGAAGTCAGTCACTAATTCTAATTATTAGTAAACATTTTTAACAATTTGAATTTAGAGAATCATTATTATACAGAAGTTATGCCAGTTTTTTTTTCATTTTATTTCTAAAAAATAAGAATAATAATTGTTTTGTACAGTTAATTAATTTTTTCATTAAATATTATATTATTTTTTTAAATTTCATAATGAAACAAAAAACGACGAAAAAAAATATTTAAAAATATATAAAATAGAAGAATTAAAAAATTATAGAGAATAGAAAAAAATAAAAAAAACTTGGTACTAAAAAAAGTTTCGGACAAAAAATGGTCACTAATTATATTTGACTTTTTTTCCAGAGGCAGCTTAATGTTCAAGGATACCAGTGCAGTTCTGACTTGCGTTACGTGCTTTTTAAACACAATGTTAAACCAGTAAGTAGCTTACTTTAATATTATATTCTGCATATAATCCACTAACAAAATGCATTCAACTCTTCAAAAGCATTTCACGAGATAAACTCCACGGTTGAATGTATTTGAAAATTGTTCGTTATATATAATGTCTGAAGCACATTTAATGAAAATTTCCCAAATAAAAAAAAAGCCAACCCCTTTCGCCATCTGACAACTCTTCCATTACAATAGAATTAAACTTGTCATAAAACAAAAGAACGTTTATCATTATTTTTACTCTGCAACAGACTCTAAACGCGAAGAAGGAAAATTAAAACAAAGGATAAATAAATAATAACAGATGCTAAATGCGAAGAGGAAAAAATAATAACAAAGGAAAGGATAAATATATTTTAACGCAGAAATGTTTTCCTTTTCTGTGTAAAATTTTTTATTTGACTATGTCTAAAACGTTTGTAGTTTGTACACTTAAGAAAACAATTAGAGATGTTTAAATGTCGCGTCTGAATGTCGTCATTTGTTTAATGACACAGTTTGTACTAGATAAAACGATTTGTTACAAGTTGAAGTATTTTAAGTGTTCCTTCTAAATTTTCTATAACCCACCGTATAATGTTGTACTTATGACGCATTGTTACTTGTAGTGGAACGAAACAACACGATCAAGAGTACTTTAAAGTCGTTTAAGCCATGCGACGGTGATTTAAGTCTCTTTTAAGTACTTTATTTCTGTATACCTCTTTAGCGAAAGTTACATTTTAGAGAGGAAAAAAAGGGAGAATAAGAGAAAGAAGCCTAAGAAAAAAAAAATAACAAACTATGTCGCTTGTGAATTAGAATTTAAAACAATATGTAAACGATATCTTTTAAATCAGAGGGAAGAATGAAAATTGCTTTTTAATGTCAAATTCAAATAGATACTGTTGCATGATTCACTATTACCTTGTTTTTCTTGATTTTAAAGTCAATTTATTCAAGCTCTTGGAAAAAGCAAATAAGGAGAACAATACAAAGACGACGAAATTGGATTCGAAGATTTATAACACTTTTTGTCTTTTAATATTAGATGGGAAAGATTTTTTTTATAGTTTATATTTGTGACATGGTTGTATTTATTTTTATCGATTGTGGAATAAAAGAGTACTAAAATTTCCAATATACTGCAAAAATAATAATTACAAAATTGACTCGTACTACTGAAAATTAAATCACAATAAATTTACAATTCTCACTTTCACAACAGATACAATAAAAATTACATTTATTAATTAACTATAATAATCTTAATATTTTTGTAGAAAATTCTCAATTTTTATAAGGAAATAATTTGCTTCAATTCTATTTCTTAATTTCAATTGTTTTAATAAAATTCAACGTTTTTTAAAAATAAAAGAAAAAATATTTATAAATTATATTTGTCAATTAGAAAATTTAATTGAAAATGAAACTAAAATTTTTTTTAATTTTTAGAAAAGAAAGAAAAAATTTTATTAAAAAAAATTTTCTGTTAAATTTATTTACGAATTTCTTTAATTGTAAAATTATTCGAAAATAATAATTTCATTTTTAAATATTTAATTAATATTATTTTTCCATAGGAATTAAGATTTTTAAAAATTTCAAATTCAAACTTTTTTGAAATTAATCAACTTTAAAAATATTGTTATAAAACATAAAGAGGATCTAGTGTTAAAATCATTATTTTATATTATAAGAATATTGTTACAGTAACTTTTTAAAAATTATTTCCATATCAATATTATTATCTTAAAATTTAATTCTTATAAAGAATTTTATTAACAAATTTTTAAACAATTGAATTCTTTTGACGAATTTTAATCCATTTTTTTAAAATAGTTACATTTTTCAAGGAATTTGATTAAAATTGTATGAAAAATAATTGAAATTCTGCAACGCTCTAATAGTTTTAATATTCAGTAATTATTTAAAATTTTAAATAAAAATCTATTTTAAAATCAAGTTTTACTAGAAAATTCTATGAGAACTCAATTATTTAAATACAAAAATAAATAATTTATTGAACAATTGAATGTTTCTTAAAATTAAGAATTTTTATTATTTATGAAAGTAATGGAATTTCAGTAAAATGTTTACTATTTATGAAAAAAATTAAATGTACATTTAATTTTGTATAAGATATTTTTATAAATTTTGAACATATTTGAATTTTGTGATAAGAATTTTATTACTTTTGAAAATAATTGAATTTCTGCAATTATTTGTAACTTCTTTAAAATTCAAATTTTGTAGTGTTTTTAACTAAAATTCTTCTATGAATTAATTATTTTTAATAATTAATTTTGACGTGTATTTATGTATTGATAAATTTAACTAATTTTTTGAAGATTTTGAATTATTAAATTTTTTCAAAAATCTAAGTTTATTAAAATTTCTAATAAAATTCATTCAACATTTAAATTTTGTAAAATTTAAAATTGAAATCGTTTAAAGCTAATTTTTTATGAAAATTGTAAACGCAACTCTTTTAAAATTGAATTAATTTTGAAATATTTAAGTAAAATTATTCATTAAATAATTTATTTATTTTATAATAGTTGTTCAGGATTTAAGTTATTTCAAAAGAAATTTTTGTCGGACATCGAAAAAAATGAAAGTTTTATATTAGACTTTGTGGTAATCTTATTGTTTATGAGTCAAACAAAAAAGACACAATAATTCAAAATATTGTAATACTAAAACTATATATTCCAATTCGTATTTTATTTTTATAAAACAAAAATTTTAATGAAAGGTTTTTACGTTCTATTATCTTTAAAATTGTTAATTTTATTTAAAAAAGTGATTGAGAAATCCGCCGCGCGCGAATTGTTACTGTTACTAAATACAATCCCTTTTTATATGTGAGAACTTAAAAAAATTATTCCCCTTCTTTGTGCAAATAAAAAGCAACCTATTTTAAAATTCAAAACAGCAAACATTGAAATTTACACAAGAATCTATTTTTTCTTCTTCACTTGAATTCACTGTCAGTATTAAATTTTATGACTGACGAGTCTAACTTTAACATCGTTTTTAAGAAAATGTCGTAAAGTTAACTCCTCAAAGAATCGCAAGGATTTAATGCATTCAAAGTAAATCCGGGTTAAAAGGGTAGATTTAAGATAAAGCTCTCGATTGAAAAGAATTATTCGATTTTCCTACTGAAAAGTTCAAAAGATAGAGAACTATCATTTAAAGGCAAATCGACTTGGAAAAAAATAACTTCGTTTAGTTTTAGAAAAAACTAATTTTCCAAGTAATCTATTTCTTATTTTAGAACCTCGCTAAAATTAGCCTTAACTTGAAGCATCAAAACATTTTTTCTCTAACATTCTCCTCTAAAATGTTAATAAAAATTTCATTTTTCAACAAACCGTCCCTATAAAATGTCAAAATTAACGTCAAGACAAAAGGTGCAACAAAAATTTTTTTTTCACAATTTTTGTTCAAAATGAGGGTTATGGCACAAAAATTTGATTTTGTTCTTCCCTGATTTTTAATTAATTTAATTAATTTAATTAATTAATTGAATTAAAAGAATTTAAATCATACAAAAACTGTTTAGTTACATGTGAATATTCAAAAATACAACTAATTTCAGAAGAGTTTGGTATAAAATTTTTAAAAAATAGAATCTTCAGATTATTTAATTAAAACTATTCGAAATTCAAAACTTCAAAAATTTTAATTCGGAATTTTTTATGAATATTTCTAGAAATCTCTGCTTTTTTTTAGAATTTCCAAATTAAATTTTTCAAATTTCAATCATTTTTAAAAATAAATATTTAAATACTTATTGTTCTTTATTTGCTTAAAATTTCGAAATACTTTTAATATAAAACCATTTGAAACTCTTTTAATGAAAATTTGAACTGCATGTCTTCCAAAATTCAGTTATTTTTTTAGAATTTTTGAATAATATTATTCAAAACTTTTGATTTTTAAGGAAGCTAACAAATTAGAAATTTTTATATTTAAATATTATTATACCTACTTTTACAGCAATTAGAATTTCAAAGATTTCAATTTATAAACTTTATGAAATTTAATTATTTCTAAAGAATCCTACTTTAGCTTTTCTAATTATTTTTTAAAGATTTAACTAAATTTCTTTTTTAAATCAATTCTTATCAGAATTCAATTTCTAAATACAAAAATAAATAATTCATTCATTTTTTCTTCTAAATTCAAATATTTACAAAAACTTTAACAAAATTCTTGGCAAAATTTCAATTATTTTCAAAAAATTTCCTCAATTCAATGATTTTTAATATTTATTATTTTAATAAAATTTTCCAAAAGAATTCAATTATTTAAAAAGAAATTAAATAAAATTCTATCCTAAAGATTTAATTATTTTCATAAATAATAAAAATTTCAAACGAATTTAATTAATTTTCATTGATAATTAAACTTATGGTAGAAATTCAGTTATATTAAAAAATTTAAATAAATTCTCCTCAAAATTTCAATTATTTTAAAAATAAAAAATTCTTCTCTAAAATTCATTTATTTTCAAAAATTAGAAAAAAATTTGTAGACAAAATTTAATTATTTTCAAAAATTTTCCTGAATTCAATTATTTTTAATATCTACGATTTTAATAAAATTTTCCAAAAGAATTTAATTATTTTCATAAATAATAAAACTCATCGCAGAATTTTAATTAATGTAATAAAATTTTAATCGAATTTCTCAAAAAATTTAATTATTTTCAACAATTTTATTAAAATTCGTCAAAAGAATATTTGAAAATTTGTTGATAAAATTCCTTATGAGAATTAAATTTTTCGAAACATTATTCAATAAATTGAACATTTCAATAAATGAACATAATTCAATAAATTATTTATTTTTGTATTTAAATAATTGAATTCTCTAATATTTTATTTTTAATTTTTTAATTTTCTAATAAAAATTGATTTAAAAAAGAATTTCAGTTAAAATTTTAGATAATTGAATTTTATTTTTGATTTAACTTTACTTATTGTAAATTGTAAGCATTATAGTATGAAATTTCTAGAAATAATTAAATTTTAAAAAGGTTTCAAATTAAAATCTTCGCAAATTTTAAGTCTTCATACATTTAACTAACAATTCTGTAGAATTAATATTTTTGAAAAAGTTTAATTAAATTAAATTTTTTTTGTACAATTAAATTGTAAATAAATTACTTTGAACATTCTGAAAGAACTTTTTCAAAATTTATTTAAAATAATTGATTTAAAGAAGAATTTAAGTTTAAAATTCTAGAAACTAATAATTCAATTGAAATATTCTTATAATATAATCGACTCGGAGTGATCGATTCCTTCATGTTCTATAATAATATTCTTTTATGTTATTGAATTTTAAATTTTTGGAAATCTCAATTCCTCATGGAGAATAATAATTAAATGTTTATTTAATAACACTGTAAAAAGAAAGGTACTAATTTAGTACCAATTTTGGTACTAAATTGTAATTTGGTTCTATTTTAATACCAAGATCAGCTCTAATTTAGAACTTTTTTTTTATAGTGAAAGTAGTTACTGATGTTTTTAAATAAGTTTAAAATTAAGGAAATTCGTAAAATAAATGTAAGAACATTTTTTTTCTAGTATCTAATCATTTTGATAGTACAACAGAATTTTCTTTAGAATCAGGAAAAAAATAAAAATTTTGTCTGAAAATCAGGAAAAAGTTAGGGAAAAACAAAATTAAATTTTTGTGTCAACCATGAAAAGAGAAAAAATAAAAATTAATGGTCCAAAAAAAGTGTTCAAATTAAGACAGACTTGATTTTTCCAGGTATTCCGGCACACCTTTACTGCTCATTACACAGTGTACGATGTCGCAAACGAGTAAGTATAAAACGAGCATAAAAAAAGAAATCAAAAAGAAAGAATTAGAAAAAAGGTAGAAAAAATAAAAAAAAGTCAAAAAAGAAAAAAAAAAACACGAGGAAAAGTAATAAAAGACAAAACTCTCAATTGTCCACAGCCATCACATGCCACTTCGCCTTCACACTTTATCGAAGCTCCATCAGACACGTCTACAGCATGCGACCTGGCTTGGGAACACGACAACCCTCCTAATGATATCAGAGAATGACATTTATCTGAGAATATCGCCATCGGCAACGGAGGACGCTCGCTTGACAGACACTGGTGTACCAGGAGTTGTATATAATGGCGTTCCCGATTGGCTCTATCAGGAGGAAGTTTTACCAAGACCCGAGGCAATATGGTCCAGTCCTGATGGCTCACATATTCTCTTCGCCAGCTTCAATGATACCAAAGTCACTGAACTTGAATTCCCATGGTTTGGAACGCAATTCGGACAAAATGGATTCGGTGGTATACCAACGACGGCAACGAAACGTGGCACATTCCCACCATCGAGAACAATAAGATATCCAACGCCAGGTTCACCAAATCCCGAGGTCGATCTTTGGATTATTGACATTAATAATAACACCAATTTTTCAAATGTTACCAATATTGTGCAACCTATTAAAATGAGACTGAAACCACCTCCTGCATTCGATGGACAGTGAGTATTTGAATAATTCAACAATATTTTCAATTTTCAATTTTTTATTTGGTTTTTGAAATTTTAAACTGAAGAATTTTTCAACTAAATTCGATTCACTTTAAACACGTAATTCTGTCTGAGCAAAATTTACTTCTACTACTGAAAGAACAATTCTAATAAACTAATAATAAATCTCTGCTACGGTCCGATCAAAATTTACTTCTATAACTGAAACAATAATTGCAAAAGATAAATTCGACCGCTGTCCAATTGAAATTTATTGTTAATATTGAAATTACAATTCGAAAAATTAATGTAAGTTTCTGTCTGACTAAATTCTATTTTCACTACTGAAACAATAACACAGTAAAACGTGAGGTGTTAAAATAACGCCCAAAATGGATTAATATAATCCGCAACAGATTAATCCCACTATGATTAAATTAACACCAGAAAGGATTAAAATAATCTACTTTGGTGTTATTTTTCACTATGAATGAAATTTTACTTTAAATAAAACACCAAAGTCAACGATTCGTAAAAATTCAACGAATTTAGCTTCTGCAGGGATAATAGTAAGTTAATAAGTTAGTTAATAACTTAGTTACTAACTTACTAACTAACTTAGTAACATAGTTACTAAATTCAATTGTGTTCAAAAATTTTAAAAAATTCTCGTCAATATTTAAATTCTCTTTATAAATAATAAAATTCTTCTCTGATATTCAATTATTTACAAAATTTTTGTCAAAATTTCAATTATTTTCAAAAGTTTTCTAAAATTCAATGATTTTTAATATCTACTATTTAAATAAAATTTTCCAAAAGAATTCCATTATGAAAAAAAAATTTGAATAAAATTCTTCGCAAACATTCAATTATTTTCATAAATAATAACATTTATACAGGGATTCAATTATTTTTATAAATAATAAAATTCTTTTAGGAATTCAATTATTTTCATAAATAATAAAACTCATTGCAGAATTTCAATTATTTTTAATTCAATTTTAATCGAATTCCTCGAAAAATGAAATTATTCTTAAAAATTTTATTAAAATTCGTCCAAAGAATTTAATGATTTAAAAAATTTGTTGATAACATTTTTTATGAGAATTTAATTTCAAGAAACATGGAATTAATAAATTATTTATTTTTTTATTTAAACAATTCAATTCTCGTAGAATTTACTAATAAAACTGGTTTTAAAAATGAATTTCAGTTAAAATTTTAGATTATAATTAAATATTAAAAGCATTATGACGTGGATTTTTAGAAATAATTAAATTTTGAAAAAGTTTTAAACTAAAATCATTGAAATTCTTAATTTTTCATATTTTTTACAAAAAATTCTGTAGAATTAATTCTTTTTAAAAGATTAATAGAATTTTTATTGAAATTATTTGAAGTTTTTATTTTTCAATACCTATATATTTAATTGCAGAATTTCCAAATAATTGAAATTTTGTAAAATTGAATTGTAAACGAATGAATTTGAAAATTCTCAAAGAAATTTTTTAAAAATTATTAAAAATAATGAATTTATTGAAGAATTTTAGTTAAAAACACTAGAAAAAAAATTTATTCTAGAGAAGATACAAATTATTGCAGAAATTCAATAATTTTCATGAGTAATAAAATTCTTCTTAAGGATTCAATTATTTTTACTAATAATAAAACTCATCGTAGCGTTTCAATTATTTTTCATACAGTTATAATTGAATTCCTTGAAAAAAGTAATTATGTTCATGCAAGTTTTAATAAAATTCGACAAAAGAATTCAATTATTTAAAAATTTGTTAATAAAATTCTTTATGAGAATTGAATTTTGAGAAACATTCAATTATTCAATAAATTATTTACTTTTACATTTAAATAATTAAATTCTTGTAGAATTTTCTAATAAAAATTGATTTTCATTTTATAAAAATAAATTTCAGTAAAAATTTTAGATTATAATTGAATATTAAAAACAATGTAGCGTGAATTTTTAGAAATAATTGAATTTTGAAATTAATTTTTTTGAAAAAGTTTAATTGAATTTTCTTTTATATTATTTGAAGTTTTTATTTTCTATAATATGCATTTAATTAAAGAATTTAGGAATAATTGAAATTTCGTGAAATTGAATGTTATAAACAAATGGATTTGAAAACTGCCAAAGAACTTCTTCAAATATACAAAAATTTAAAAAAAAATATAAAATTTTCGAAAATAATGAAAATAATTTTGAAGAAATATAATATTCTTATAATATAAAATAATAATTTTATTACTTGGCCATCTTTAATTATTATAAAATATGAAGAAATCAATGACTCCGAGTCGAAGACTCGGAGTTATCGATATCTTCATGTTTTATAGTTATAAAAAAAATTTAATGAACTAAAATTTCATTCCTTGTAAAAAATAACACCAAAATTGATTATTTTAATCTTTTTTGGTGTTAATTTAATCTGCAACACTTTTTAATACCTCATGATTTACTCTGAATTGCAATAATCAATCTTAGCCTTTGTTTGATATAAATTTATTTTCACTACTAAAAAAGTTACAATAATCTATTACAATGGTAGACAATTTTTGTTCAGTGGAACGAATATAATTAAAAAATTTCATTACTCAGGAAACTATAATAATAACAATATCGAATCGGTTTTTGAAAAAACAAAATGTCAGCTAAAATTTTAAAAAATTAAAGTACATTCTTGAAAACTATAGTTCTTAGACGTTTTTTTTTGTATGTTAAATAAAGAATTTAATCCTAAATTTTCGAAATAGTAATTTAGTTCAATAAATAAATTAAATACTTGTCATTTACTTTCCCACAGAAATTAAAATTTATAAAATTTAAATTTCAAAATGTTAGTTATAAAATCTAATTATTTTTCAAATTTCAATTATTTAAAATTTTTAATTTTTTCGAATTTTATCTTTTAAAATTTAATTAGTTTTAAGAAATTTTAACTAAACTTGTTCTATAAATCAATTAGTTTTTTAATAATATTCCGAATGCTCTTTTGGAATTCAACTATTGAAATAAGGCAACATAGTAAGGGTTGGACCACTTGTTGAACTTTGTTTATAACTTTTTTTTAGAAAATAAATTTAGACAATTGAGTTATATTGTGGAAAAGATCTAAAACAGGGGAATCAATATTTTATTTTTAATTTTAACCCTCCATCCGTCGCATGGTGAGAATTTCCCTCACCCAGTTTCTTTTTTTATTTATAACTTTTAAAATACAAAAAATTATAATTTCATATTCTCATTACCTTTCACAACACTCTTCTTCTTTACATTAAAACAATTTTGGTGTTTTTTTATATTTTAATTTCTTTGTTATTGAATTTGAAAGCAGCAAATGTCGAGGATTTTTGACGCGAAGTGAGGGAACTTCTCACCATGCGACTGACCGCGTATACTCGATTTCATTTGTCATTAATTTTTTATTTAAATAATTAACAGGAAATAAAAGTTAATTTTACTGCCAATAGGTTGTTTAGAAATTCTAATGAACATTCAAAAAAAAATTTGTCATTTTAGAACAAGTTTGGACTAATTTATGAGGGTAAGAATTTCTCTCACCTGCGACGGATCGCGTTACAAAAAAAGGTGCGACGGATGGAGGGTTAAATAAATAGTTATAATAATTAATAAAAATTTTTGTATGACCAAACTTTATGTTCACCACTGAAAAAAGAATTACACTTCTGAATCTTAATTTCTGTCTGACCGAACCTTATTTTTACTACTGAATCAGTAATCACTCTCAGTTTCTGTCTGACTAAAATTTATTTTTACCACTAGAATAATTATTTCATCAATTACGGCATTAAGCTAACTTTTGTTTCAATTATTCGTTGGATTCTTTCTTAAATTTACGGAAAAAAATTACAAAATCTGTCTATTTGAATTTTTAAAGACTTGCATCGTATTTATAATGCAATTTTGAAGAAAACTTACGCTTCCATATTGAAACTGATATTTTTCTGTTCTTTCATCTTTGGAAAATTTAGTTTCTCTGTGGTATTTTTTTAAAATTTAAAAAACTAGCAAAGAACTAAAGTATTAGATTCTTTGACTAGGATTAAGTATAATATAATATAATTCAATGTCTGACTGAAAGGGATTTTTCTACTCAAAATGTTCAAACTTTAAAAGAGGTGGATTTTTCTCTTCTGTTCAAAACTTTCCTTATATCCGCAAAATGTTTGATTGAATCAAGTTTTCAAAACTCTAATAAAAAATCCATTTTTCTAACAAATTCAGATTTTGTTTGACTTTTTCCAAAAAAAAAAAATTTCCATTGTCTAAAAAAAATCGGATTTCTCTACTAAAAATAAAAACTTGAATACTAATAAATCAAAGTCACTTTGAAATTCAATAAAATTTGAAACCCTTTTCACAAATTTTTCCGACCAGAAAATAAGACAAGTTTCTTTTCTATTTTTAAACAATGGCTTACTTTTCATAGCAAAAATTATTAATCTAGCAGAAAATATTTTGTTCACATTTTTTGTAATATTATATTGGAATATTGCGAATAATTCAAAGGAATATTCCATAAACATTTGAATTGTTAGTAGTTGTACTAAAAGTTTGTGTCATCAAAAATTATTTTTACTATTGGATCAATAATTAAAAAAAATTATTCTAAGTTTTTATTTGACAATTCCGTAGTTTCACTATTGAAAGAATGATTGTAATAATTAACTACCTCACATCTTGGCTGACCAAACAAAATTTATACTACTGAAAGAATAATGCTATAATAATTAATCTCAACTTTTGTCTGACCAAACTTTATTTTTACTACTGAAACAATAATTGCAGTAATTGATTTCATGTTCTGTCTGAAAAAAATTTATTTTTACTACTAAAAATAAGAATTGTAAAAAAAACAAAGTTTATTGATATTGTCAAAACAACAATTACAATACTGAATCTCTGATTCTGTCTGACCAAACTCTATTTTCACTACTGAAACAACAATTTTGCAATAATTCATCTTCACCTTTGTCTGTCATAAATTTTTTTCTTTTACTGAAAAAGTCACAATAATTAATTTCAATTTTGTCAGTCTTAATTTAACACTTTTCAGTGTTACTTTAACACCAAATGTAGTGTTAAAATCTCATAGTGTCGGTTAAAAATGTTGCGTGCAGTTTTAACACTACATTTGGTGTTCAAATAATATTTTTCTCTGTGTAGTCAAAATTTTTTTTCATGGAAAAAAAATTGATACAATATAATGAATTATTTTAGTCTTTTTTTTGTGTGTTCCTTTGAGCTGCAAAGCTTTTTATAATACTGCTTATAGTTTACTGTGGTGTTAAAATTAGGGAAATTGAAAAATATTGAAATGAAAATGAAAAATTGTTTGCAGGGAATATTATATCATCTCGGCTGGATGGGTAGGAGAGGATTCTTCCCAAGTTGCAGTGGTTTGGATGACAAGGTCGCAGAACTTGTCTGTAGTATCAGCCTGCCGAGCACCAAATTGGGAGTGTGAGGAAACTCACACGGAAAGGGCTCCGGAAGGCCAGTGGCTGGACGCTCAACCGCATCCCGTTTTCGCACCCGATGGAGACAGTTTCCTGCTCCTGGCAGCTGTACAAGAGGGAAGCCAAGAACACTTCACTCACATTAAACATGTCACTCTAACCGAGAAGAGGATAGCTGTTCTATCTCATGGCCGATACGAGGTATATCTATCTCTCTCTCTCTATATATATTTCCTTCTCTCTCTTTCTCTCCTTTTCTCTTTTCTCTCTATTTATCTTTCTCAATTTTATAAATATATTTACACTAAAAAGAAAAATATTTTAATTCTAAGAAATTTTCCGCACTTTCTATTAATTTATCTATAAACGAAATTTTCTTTAGGTCACTGAAATTCTCTCATGGGACACCTCATCACATTTAGTTTATTACTTAGGAACCAGGGAAAATAAACCAGGTCAAAAACATCTTTATGTAGTGCGAGATCCAAAAGCCGATGATTCGCGTCATTCGGAGCCATTGTGCATCACTTGTGACCTTGGGGAGGCTCTCTGGAGTAGTCGGTGAGTTGAAGTGATGAAAACAAAAATTTAACGAAACTTATTTTTACTTAAATATAAAAAATTTGAATTTTTAAAATAAACATTAAAGTAAATTTATTTGCATATATTATATATTTTATTATTTGCTTAAATAATTTCAAATTTTCTAATTGATTTGATTGCATTTTACGTCCTTCACTAACTCTTTAAATCTGATAATAAATTTTATTTCTGTATAGATAATTAGGTACCTTTAAAATAAACCCAAAAAACGTTTAAAACGTAAACTCTAGAAGTTTTGAATTTAGAAGTTATTTGAATATTTAAGAAATACTGAACTTCGCCTTTTTAAAACTATCTCAATTTATTTACTAACTTTTAAGAAAATAAAACCAGAAATAGTTACCACAACTACTTAGTTTTTAAAATGTATTTCGTTTATCAAAATAAATAAATCATTTTAATTCAAAAGCATATATTGTGTATAGAAAGCAAAAAATCTTTGCGGTTAGGTTGTAAACAATAAATCAGCTTCACAATTCGTGTTCAAACATTAAAATAAAAGAACTGAGTACAAAAAAGGAAAAATATTTGTAAAAAAGGGAAAATATTCTTAAAAAAACGGAAAACGGTAAATAGTGGATTTATAAACGAATTTTAGTTAAAAACACTAAAAAAAATTGAATTTTGGAGACGTTACAAATTATTGCAGAAATTCAATTATATTCAAAAAAAATTAAAAGTAATAGAATTCTTCACAAAAATTCAATTATGATCAAAAAATTTTTTTAAATTCTCGTCAAAATTTCAATTATTTTTATTAATAATAAAAATTTTCCACGAAATTCAATTAGTTTCAAAAAATTTAAATAAAATTCTTATAGCAAAATTTCAATTATTTACAAAAATTCCCCTCAATTTAATGATTTTCAACATCTACTATTTTCAAAAAATTTTCCAAAAGAATTCAATTATTTAAAAAAAATTGATAAGATTCTTTACAAGCAATTAATTTTTTTTTATTAAATAAAAATTACACAGGAATTCGATTATTTACCAAATATTAATTAATTTCTTCGCAATAATTCCATTATTGTCATAAATAATACAAATTCTTAAAAATTTTATTAAAATTTATAAAAAAAAATTCAATTACTTAAAAATTTGTTGATAAAATTTTTATGAGAATAAATAAATGATTTATTTTTGTATCTAAATAATTGTATTCTCTGAGAATTTTCTAATAAAAATTGATTTACAAATGAATTTTAGTTAAAATTTTAGATAATAATTGAATATTAAATGCATTATAGCGTGAATTTCTAGAAATAATTGAATTTTGGAAAAGTTTGAAATTAAAAGCTTTGAAAATCTGAATTTTTCATACTTTTAACTGACAATTCTGTGTAATTAATTTTTTTGAAAAATTTTAAATCAATTTTTTTTTAAAATTATTTTAAGATTTTACTTTCTAATATATTTTTAATTGAAGAATTTATAAATAATTGAAAATTCGTAAAAATTAATTGTAAACAACTGGATTTGAAAATTCTCAAAAAAAACTTTTTAAAAAATGATTAAAAATAATTTATTTAAAGAAGAATTTTAGTTAAAAATTCTAGAAAATAGTAATTCAATTGAAATGATGAAAATAATTATAAAAGATGAAGAAATCGATCGATATCTTCATGTTTTATTCCTAATAATAATAAGTTATTTAATTTTGAGATGAGTGAATCAGAATATTCTTTAGGGTCAGGAAAAAAGTCAAAATTTTGTCTGGAATTCAGGGTGCATTTTTAGAAATAATTGAATTTTGAAAATGTTTTAAATTAAAATCTTTGAAAATCAGAATTTTTTATATTTTTAACTGACAATTCTGTATAATTTTTTTTTTTTTAAAAAAGTTTAATTGGATTTTTTAAAAATTATTTTAAGTTTTTACTTTCTAATATATTTTTAATTGAAGAATTTCTGAATAATTGAAATTTCGTAAATTTAATTGTAAACAAATGAATTTGAAAATTTTCAAAAAACTTTTTCAATAATTATAAAAAGTAATTGATTTAAAAAAGAATATTAGTTAAAAATTCTAGAAAATAATAATTCAATTGAAATGATGAAAATAATAATTATAAAAGACGAAGATATCGATTACTCCGAGTCGAAGACTCGGAGTGATCAATATCTTCATGTTTTATACCTAATAATAATATTCTTATAAGTTATTGAATTTTGATAGTGAATCAGAATATTCTTCAGGCTCAGAGAAAAAGTTAAAATTTTGTCTGGAAATCAGAGAAAAGTTCGGGAAAAAAATTAAATTTTTGTGGCAACCCTGATAAAAAAAGGAATAAAGAGAGAATATTTATGAAAAAGGAGAAAAAGGAAAAATATTCACAAAAAAAAACGATAAAGAAAACTCGTAAAGTCTGTACTAAAATAAAAATAAAATTACAAAAAAGATTTTAAAAAAAACTCCAATATGCTAAGAACATTAACTCATGAACTTAATTAAATTTTTTCTAAACTTCACATTCAATTTCGAAGGATATAAAAAAAAAGTTTTTTTTTCCTACAATGTAATTTTGCAAGTTGAATTTTACAAGACAAAATTGAAAGATTAAATTTTCATAAGGTTGAAAGATCTTGGTCAAGTTGAAGCTCGACTAGACGTTTTTTGTTTGATTTTGCATTAATTAAAAGTTCATGCTTGTCTCTTTCTTTATAATGACCATACCTGAAGACTTTTAAAACTCGTATTTCGCAAAACTTGGAAAGATGAATATTTCAAAAAAAAAAAAAAAAAAAAAAAAAAAATGTGAGAGATAGAGAAAAAGAAGACGCCGAGCTCAGATCCATGCATCACATGAGCTGCCGCGGAATGCTCACAAACATTATATTAAGGGAAACTTCTAAAACCACAAAACTTCATTCGTGTGCAAGAATAACAAGATAGTTTGCAAACTTAAAGTTTACTTCTGCTGAATATGAATAAATTATATTCTCAACACTGTTCAAAAAGTAATAAAATTTTATTTAAATTAACTTGTGTCGTGTAGAATTATTAAAAGTTTTGTAATACCTAGTAATGATGATAATAATAATAATTGAAAAATTAATTAAAACTATGAAAAAATAATTTTGCTGAAAACTAACTCTGCTGGGGAACGATAATAATAATATTGTAAACAAAAAGTCAAAAACGCCCTTAAGTTATAAAATAATTAAAAAATGGTGTTTTTAAATGTCAAAAATACTAAAAACTAAAAAAATATATTTAAATTTATAGTTAAGAAATTAAACTGAATATTAAAATAGTAGATTAATTAAATTACGATTTAAATGTTTAAAAAATATTAGTTAAATTAAAAACCGGAAATTTAATACTTCTTACTTTAAGAATTTGAAAAAAATAATACACACGTCGATAGTATAAATTTTTCGATCATACATTATATTTTCAAAAACATGTGACATTTATCGTCAGAATAGCAAAAAAATTTAATTTTGTTAATTATTTTTTAAAAAATCCTATGAGAATTAAATTATTTAAAAGAAAAAAAAGTCCACTTAAAATAACACTGAAATTCATTTGTTTATAATTCCATTTGACGAAATTTCAACCAATTTCAAAACAATTTGACTAAAAATTTTGGAAATATTAACTTCTTGAGAATTTTTTATTACACTTATTTAAAATTTTAATATTCTAAAATTTATATTTGAAACCTGTTAAAATTCAATTATATTTATTAAAGTTGTAAATGCATCTCTTACAAAATTCAATTCTCTTTAAAATATTAAAATTAAATATTAAAATATTTAATTTATTTCTTCTCTAAATCAAATTTATTTATTTATTTATTTAAGTAGTAAACGGGACTGTGCCCTTTCGTACAAAGTACTCTTAATACTAATTTTATTGCACTAAGAAAAATTACTAAATATTATCAAAAATGAAACATAAGTACCTAATTGTTTAATAATTTTTGAAAATGTTTTTTAAGAATTCAGTTATTTAAACAAAAAGAACGTTAACATGAAATAATTTCGAAATTTCAAATTGAATTAAATTATTTGAAATAAATTCAATTTTATATTTTGTATATTTCAATTATTATTGCTGGACCCTAAAATTAATTTGAAAACAATTTCAGATACTTTTTAACGTGTTTTAAAGAAATATCCTTTTTTCAATAATACAATTTTTAAAAAAAAATTTACATTTAATTCACTTTCATTTATTTATTGCTTTAAAAAAGAATTTTAGTTTAAAATTCTAAAAAATAATTGAATTTTTAAAGAATTACTATTGTAATAAATTACTATAAATAATTAAATTTTAGAAAATTTGAAATTTTGATTGTTTAAAATTTGAGTTCTTGTTGAAAAATAAATAACAATAAATACCTATGTAAAATAATTTAAAGTTATTTAAGGACTGTATAATTTAATTTACAAATTCTGAAAAAATTAAGTTTCTGAAAAGTTTTAGTTAAAATTTATTTAAAATTTAATTAAAATTTTTTTAAGATAATTAAAAATTCCTGTAAACAATTAATTGACAAATTTTTAAACAATTAAATATTTCGTTAAACTTTATTTAAATAAATTATATATTTTAAAGAAATTATTATCATTTCTAAAAATAGTCTTGCCTGTCAAGGAAAAATATTTTCAAATGGAAAAAAATTATTTAAAAATCATTAAACTTCAATTTTAATAACATAATAATAGCATAATTATAAATAATAAAAAAATAATAATAACAATTATAATTTTAAATCTTATTACTTCTATTGTTATCATTGCTTGTTGCCTGTTAAGTTTTCTAATTACGTCAATATTGCTACCCTAATTAAGAAAATTAATGAGGGAATTTTGCTTTTAGGGAAAGTAATTTATTTGAAAACTTTAATATCAACTTGGAAAGATACTCCGGAAAATGATCTCTCGAGAATACAGTATTCTTTTATTTACTTATTTAGGTAATACACCCTATTACGAAAGCATAAATTCTCTTTCGTGTAAAAAAAAGTACTTGAATGAAAATAAACTTTTCTTTGAGTCAAATAAACTTCTACTTGATTCAAACAATATTTAGTTTGATAAATATGCATTTCACTAATTTATCTAAGAATAAAAACTAAATATTTAAATAAATAATTAAAAATTTATTTCTAAGAAATAAATAAGTCTCAAATAAGAATTTTCGTTTAAAATTAAGTTTTTTTTCTCTGTGCACTAAGGAGCAAATGGAAAAAAATAAGATAGCACTTCTATAATTAACTATTAATTAATTAATTACTTATTAACTATAATAATTTGAATGTTCTTTCATTCATTCCCTTTTTATGTCCATCACACTCTAAAGTTGTCTTTTGTTTATACTTTTGTTTTTTGTTATCTTTAGATAGATTGTATATTTTACTATTGTTATAATAATTTTTATATAATTAATTCAAAATTGTAATGACAAATAGAAATCATCAGAATTTTTTCACTTCTTTTCATTAAAAGACTAAAATATTGTTAAATATTATGTTTTGTCAAATTGAAATTATGCAGATTTTTGTTCTTTACTTCTAAACAAAATTAGAAAATTGTTAAACAACTGTGATTAAGAAATAGAACATTTATTTATTTTGCATTATTTTTCTTTATGAATCACAATTTTTTAAACAAAATTATTATTTTCTTTTTGAAAAAGAAGAAAAATATTTGCACAATTTCTATTTTTAATATTATTTTTGGAACAGTATTTTCCACCGGAATTAAGACATTACAAAATTTCAAATTAAAAACTTTTTGAAATTAAAAAACTTATAAAAGTATTGTTATAAGACATGAACATATTGATTGCTCCGAGTCGAAGACTCGGAGTGATCGATTTCTTCACGTTTTTTAATAATTAAAGATGACCGAGAGATAAAATCATTATTTTATATCATAAGAATATTGTTTCTGTAATTTCATCAAAATTATTTTCATCATTTTAATTCAATTATTATTTTCTAGAATTTTAAATTATTTCTTATGAAAATAATTAAATTCATTAAAAAAAATTTATTATTTATGAAAATAATTGAATTCCTGTGAAATTTTTATTATTTATAAAAATAATTAAATGTTTGCATACAATTTTTATTAACATTCTTTTTAAATAATTGAATTCTTTTTGGGAAATTTTATTAAAATAGTAGATATTGAAAATTATTGAAATTGGAAAATTTTTTGAAAATAACTGAAAATTAGGACAAGAATTTTTTTTTACATTTATGAAAATAATTGAAGTTTGGAGAAGAATTTTGTTTATTTATAAAGATAATTGGGATTTTTACGAGAATTTTTTTCAAATTTCGAACACAGTTGAATTTTATAAGAAGAATTTTATTTTTTTTATGAAAATAATTGAATTTCTGCAATTATTTGTAATTTCTCCAAAATTGAATTTTTTTTAGTGTTTTCAACAAAAATTGAAATTAGAAAATTTTTAAATTCTATTATTTTTAAAATTGCTAATTTTATTTAAAAAAAGGTAGTAAGAAGTTAGCCGCGCGCTTTAGCGCGCGAATTGTTGCTAGTCATTCATAATCAATAATTATTATTTTTAATAATATAATAATAGAATAATAATTATTTTTTCTTATATTTTAAAAAACTATAATGAGTTTAAAGAATTTTGTAATATAATATTAAATGTTGTTAATGATAATTATTTCCTCCCTTCTAGATTATACTACACAAATTGCACACACTTTGGTGCATCAGTAAATCCCCCAGTGGAAGATAGTGGTCAAGGATTTTATGTCCTGCACTGTGAAGGTCCCGGTCTACCTCTTGCTGGTGTTCATTCTGTAACAACTCACAAAATGGTACGAGTCCTTTATGATACTAGAATACAACGAGGGGACCGACTATCACAACTTGCACTTCCAACGAGAAGAAGCTTTGAGGTATTCATGCTTTGTAACACAAACTATTTCATTATCACATTTCATATCTCTCACTCCATCTAACTGGAATATTTAAACAATAATGATGATGACGATAATAATAGTCCCGACATAATGGAGAGGAATTTTCATTACGCGAAAAGAAAACAAGAGAAAAAAGAGAATATTATTAAAAATGCAGTTAGAATTTTTTTTTCTCTTTCTTCCCTTTTTCGAAAAATATAGCAAAAGAGTCTTTGAAGATAGTTAATGAAAACGTTTCCAACCCTTTTAATATTTACTTTTTCACTCACGAACCTAAAGGCAACTTTAGAGAGAGAAATGTGAGGATATTTATTCTGAAAACACACGAAAGCCAATAAAATCTGTCAATATTACTTGAAAGTGTAACCCCTCTTCGGTTCTGAATAAATAATAGAAATACAATCTCAAAATTCAGATTCTCCGTTCTTTTGAAGCATGTATTAAATTTTTCGATAGGAGCAGAAGGAAAGATTCAATAGAAATGCATTAAAATTTAATAGAATAACAGATGGTATCAAATTAAACCATATTGCATTAAATAAAATAGCATTAAATTTGTCAGTCTGACTAAGGAAATATTATACTACTGATAATCATATTTTCAATATTTTAACCACTTTGGCTGACTGAATATTCCTTTATTTACTCAGACTGCATTCAAAGATATTTATTTTGTTTTATTTTTAATCAAATGAGGAGAATTTTAACCAGTACGTCTTACCGAAACAGTTTTGAAGTTAATTAATTAACCTAATTAATATATTTATCAAATATTCTGTCTAAAATTTTCATAATAAATATTTACTACTTTGTCTGACTAAATATTACTTTTTCTATTTATATAACAGTATATAACAATTATTTTACTATTTACAATAAATTACAAAATATTTGCAATAAACTTAGCCATTTTTTTACTATAGGTATATACTAATATAGTATGTCTGACTAAAACAGTATATTACTACTGATATAATAATTTCAAATAATTTTACAACTCTGTCTGACTAGAATAAGTTTACACTACTGATGTACATATTTCCAGAATTTTTTTCGCTTTGCCTGACTAAAACAATATTATACTAATGACAATCATATTTTCAATATTTTAATCACTTGGGCTGACTAAATGTTTCTTTTTATACTAAAAAAACAATTTTTTAATATTGATTTTAATAACTAAGAGCAGAATTAGGAGAATTTAAAAAAGTTTGTCTCACTAAAACAGTTTTATACTATTAATTAATACACTTACAGAATTTCAACCACTTGTCTGACTATAATACAATAATACTACTGAAGCTAAAATTTTCATAATATATTAACTACTTTGTCTGACTAAATATAACTTTCTACACTTGTCTGACTAAACTAGTATTATACTACTGGCGCGCACTAAAATTTCCCTAATAAACTATTACTGCACTACTTTATCCGGCTAAATATTACTTTTTCTATTTATATCACAGTCTACAACAATTATTTTACTATTTACAACAAACTCTGTCTGAATAGAATAAGTTTACACTACTGATTTACATATATTCAGAATTTTTTTCAACAGATTAATCCCTCTGGGACTAAATTAACACCAGAAAGGATTAAAATAATCTATTTTTGTGTTATTTTTAACTATGAATGAAATTTTACTTCAAATAAAACACCAAAGTCAACGATTTGTAAAAATTCAACGAATTTAGCTTCTCCACTCTCTAAATTTGAATTAGTAAAAATTTTTACTGGAATTCAATTATTTATAAATTTTTTTAAAAATTTTTTCGCAATAATTCAATTATTTTCATAAATAATAACATTTTTACAGGGGTTCAAGTATTTTTATAAATAATAAAATTCTTTTAGAAATTCAATTATTTTCTTAAATAATAAAACTCATTGCAGAATTTCAATTATTATTAATTCAATTTTAATCGAATTCCTCGAAAAATGTAATTATTCTTAAAAGTTTTATTAAAATTCGTCCAAAGAATTTAATGATTTAAAAAATTTGTTGATAACATTTTTCATGAGAATTTAATTTCAAGAATCATGAAATTAATAAATTATTTATTTTTCAATTTAAGTAATTCAATTCTCGTAAAAATTACTAATAAAACTGGTTTTAAAAATGAATTTCAGTTAAAATTTTAGATTATAATTAAATATTAAAAGCATTATGACGTGGATTTTTAGAAATAATTAAATTTTGAAAAAGTTTTAAACTAAAATCATTGAAATTCTTAATTTTTCATATTTTTTACAAAAAATTCTGTAGAATTAATTCTTTTTAAAAGATTAATAGGATTTTTATTGAAATTATTTCAAGTTTTTATTTTTCAATAAATATTTAATTGCAGAATTTCCGAATAATTGAAATTTTGTAAAATTCAATTGTAAACGAATGAATTTGAAAATTCTCAAAGAACTATTTTAAAAATTATTACAAATAATGAATTTATTGAAGAATTTTATTTAAAAACACTAGAAAAAAAATTTAATTTTAGAAAAGTTACAAATTATTGCAGAAATTCAATTATTTTCAAGAGTAATAAAATGCTTCTTAAGGATTCAATTATTTTTACTAATAATAAAACTCATCGCAACGTTTCCATTATTTTTTATACAATTATAATTGAATTTCTTGAAAAAAGTAATTATGTTCATGCAAGTTTTAATAAAATTCGACAAACGAATTTAATTATTTAAAAATTTGTTAATAAAATTCTTTATGAGAATTGAATTTTGAGAAACATTCAATTATTCAATAAATTATTTACTTTTACATTTAAATAATTAAATTCTTGTAGAATTTTCTAATACAAATTGATTTTCATTTCATAAAAATGAATTTCAGTTAAAATTTTAGATTATAATTGAATATTAAAAGCAATGTAGCGTGAATTTTTAGAAATAATTGAATTTTGAAATTAATTTTTTTGGAAAAGTTTAATTGAATTTCCTTTTATATTACTTGAAATTTTTATTTTCTAATATGCATTTAATTAAAGAATTTAGGAATAATTGGAATTTTGTGAAATTGAATATTTTAAACAAATGGATTTGAAAATTGCCAAAGAACTTTTTCAAAAATTATTAAAAATAATAGAGATAAAGTAAAATTGTAGTTAAAAATTTTTGAAAATAATAATTTAATTGAAATAATGAAAATAATTTTGAAGAAATATAATATTCTTATAATATAAAAAAATGATTTTATTACTTGGTCATCTTTAATTATTATAAAATATAAAGAAATCGATGACTCCGAGTCGAAGACTCGGAGTCATCGATTTCTTCATGTTTTATGTTATAAACAAATTTAATGATCTAAAATTTCATTTATTGTAAAAAATAACACCAAAATTGATTATTTTAATCATTTTTTGGTGTTAATTTAATCTGCAACACTTTTTAATACCTTACGATTTACTGTGTAATAGAATAATGGAAAATATATTTTTTTGTTTACACAGAAAATTACCGAATGAAAAAATTAATTTTTACTATTGTTTTTCTACAAAATTACGCATGAATTTTAAAATTTACCAATTTTTAGGAAAAATGAAAGATTGGGCTACAAAAGTGCCAAAAAAATGCCAATATGAAAATTCAAAAAGAGTAAAAATATTTCCTGTCCGATTTTATTTTATGACCATTATGAATTCCTCTAAAAAACTAGTATATAAACAATTTTCTACAATATTCTAATTATTTTCTTGATATAGTTAAAAATATAGGTGTACCCTCCCTTATATTCTATATAATTGAATCATGAATTGCGAAAAGGGTACAACTCATTTTTTTGAAATTTTACAGGAGACACAAAAAATTTTTCTTTCAAACAGCTTTAATTAAAAAAGTCCAGCTTTTTTTCGAAGAAACTAGATGTTATGTTATATAAGAAAATGCTATAATAACTGTCCTTAATGACAGTGGTTTGGAGAAAAATGATATTATAGTTGTAATAAATTTTTTTAACTCAAAAATAATTCAACACTTGATAAGAAAACCAACATTCCTATAGCTTATAAGTCAAATTAAAAAACACTTTAATACCTTTTTTCAATACTTTTTTTATTTGCTATTCTTTAATAGTTAATTAACAACATTTCCTCTTGTTCATTTTATTTTTTGTAAATATACACTTCATGAAGTGAAAATAATTTAGGGTATTAATTTTGTTTTAGAATAATTTTCCATTAAATACTAATAATGGAATACAATTGTTTGTTGAACAGATAACATTGCCCCAAGGATGGAGCGCGCAAGTGCAACTATTGTTGCCACCGTCTTGGAGAGAAGAGCTTCGAGACGCCGCATTTCCTGTTCTGGTTGAGGTGAATGGCCGACCCGGTAGTAAAGCGGTCACGGACAAGTTCAGCATAGACTGGGGTACATATATGTCGAGTCATAATGACGTGGTGTACGTCAGACTCGATGTCCGTGGCGCGCGAGGACATGAAAAACGAGCCCTCTTCCGAAAGCTCGGCGGTGTCGAAGTTCAAGATCAAATTACTGTACTTAGACATCTTCTTGAGACTCTCAAGTATTTAGATGAATCGAGAGTTGGAGTATGGGGATGGGGTTACGGTGGTTATGTAACTGCAATGATGCTTGGCAGTCAGCAGGAGGTTTTTAAATGTGGAGTCTCTGTCAATCCAATTGCCGATTGGCTCTACTTCAGTGAGTTCATTATTTAAAAATTTAATTAAAAAAAATCGTATTTTTTTTCTTTTTTCAATTCCAATTTTGTTCTCTCTAAATCTAAATTAGTAGAATTCTACTCAAAATAGCAAAATTTTACTAATATTTACTAGTTTTCATGGACGACTATTCCCCTTTTCAATTAGTAGAATATTACTAATTTTTAGTCAAATTTTACTAATGTTTTAGTAGACAGAATTACACTAATTGAAAGTCATTTACTTCACTAAATGAATTAGTGAAACTGTTTTATCGACTATTAATAAAACAGTTCCACTAATTGTTAGTAGAATTCTACTAAGCAATTTGTAAAGTATACTAATAATAAGTAAAATTTCACTATTTTGTTACTAAAATTATTACTAAATCATTTGGTGGAAGACTGATTGAAAATTCTGTTTGTCTAATATATAAATGTTATTACCTACTGATTTTAAATTTCCAAAAATTTTAATAGCATTGTCTGACTAAAACTTTCCTTTACTACTGAAACCGTCACAAAAAAAATCCGTCTGACTAAACAGAAAGTTTTCTACTTTTCTTGCAATTATAGTGAAAAGTAAGTCTGCCTAAAACTTACTTTTACCACTTGTTAAAAAATCTCGTTAATATTTAGTAATGTCTGACAAAAAACTTAGATTACAACAAGAACAAAATTTTTACTGACAGAAAAAATAGTCACTAAGAAAAAACGATTTTATTAATGACTTAAGTGAAATTTTATGTTAATTCAAAAATATTTTTACTACTGATTTTAAATTTCAAATTTCATAAATATTTCAATTTTAATAACCCTTTCCTTTAAAAAACTTTTATTGATAAAATCCTTATTACAATTATTAGAAAATTCTGCCTGAGGAAATTTCAGTCTTACTACTTTCTTACTACTTTCACTTTAATTATATTGAAAGTTGTCTAACCAAAAAGTATCTTTACTACTTAAAATAAAATTTACTGTTTTCTCATATTAAAGAGCGATTAATACAGATTACGTCTGTTATAAGTTATATGCAGGTTGATTGAAATATTAGGTTTAATTTAAAGAATTTTAAAGATTTTTGAACAAATTGTAACCACTCAGTGACAAGTTCTTCACAGTGTTTTCACTGCGTTAAATTAATAAAATTTAATTTATCAAAAAACGAAAAAATTATATTAACACATTAGTTCAAGAAAAAAAACTTTTCATTTTCAATTTTTATTACTTTAAAGAACAAACTAACTGATAATAAGATACATCATTTCGTAATTTATTCCATTTAATTAAAATGAAAATAAAGTAACTCCTCGTGGTATGAGGAAAGTTAAACGGAAACTTGTCTTTTAAAGTAGACTCAAGTGTCTATAATATATTAGGTATGAAATTCTGCAAATATATATATTCACTCTGAAAGATTTCTTGGAAAGTGCTCCCTGGAGATATTTTCGAAATTTCTATTATAATTTTCGTCAGAATTTTCATTCACCACATGGAAAGCTTTCTTGGAAAGTGCTTCCAAAGAAGTTTTCGTTAAAATTCCATTTTGCAAATTCCTTCGAAATTTTGGTTGGGATTCTATAATTTCTATAATTTTGCATTGAATTCCACTCTAATTGGAATTTCGTTCCAAACGAAATTATCACAATCGTAATTCCGACGGATTTTCAAAAGAGAAATTCCAAAAGAAAATGCTATGATCACTTCCAAAAAATCTTTTTCGGTGTAAATTGGAGTTTGTCGAATTTTAATTAATTAATTATTATATTATAATAATCGACATAATATGTCCTCACCTAAAGTTAATGTTGTTTTATAATTCGAATTGTTATGTCAAAAATTTGACAGTTAATTTGTATAAATAATAAAATAAGTGGAAGTAAGAAAATTTAACCCCAATTTCAAAAACTCAATGAAAGGGTACAGTTGCAATTTTTCAAAATAATTAATTATTCTACAAAGTGTTCATTTTTGTATTTGAATAACTGAATTCTGGTAAGAATTGATTTATAAAAGAATTTTAGTTAAAACTATAATAATATTATTTGAAAATTCTAAAAAATAATTAAATTTAGAAAGACTTGCAGTTCAAATTTTCAAAAAAAATGTTTCCAATGATTTTACATTGAAAGTATTTCGAAACTTTAAGCAAATAAAGAACAATAATATAAGTATTTAAATATGTATTTATGTTACAAACATAATTGAAATTTGAAAGATTTAATTTGGAAATTCTGCAAAAATTAGGTTTTTAAAAAATAGTAATTAAAATTTTTTGAAAATATACTTGAATTCTCGAAAATAATTTTAGAAAATTGAAACAACTGGAAATTTTGTAAAATTTTATATTTTTCAACTTTAAAAATTATCTATAAATATAATTGGATTTTTGAAAATACATTATTTTATGAATTTACAAAAATTATTCTATTTAAATAATTTAATTATCGTCGTTGATTTCTGATAGCAATTGATTTAAAAAAATTTCAGTTAAAATTTTAGAAAATAATTGAATATTTACAGATTTATTTATAACAGAAATTTTAGGAAATAATTAAATTTTAAAAGGGTTTTAAATTAAATTTTTTGAAAATTTAAGGGAAGCAAAATTATAAAAATGTTAAAAGTTTTAACTAAAAAAAATTATCAACTATAGGTATTATTTTTCTTTAAAAATTCTTAAAGTTTTGAATAATTTAATTCAAAAGTTCTAAAAAAATAATTGTATTTTGGAAGAATTACAATTGAAATTTTTAGAAATAATTCAATTTCAAAAGGTTTTTCATTGAAATTATATGAAATTTTAATTCCTGTTAAAAGATAAATAAGATTAAGTTTTTAATTTTGAAATTTTGAATAACTTAAATTAAAAAATCCCGAAAAATTGTTTCTTGACTTTTTTGAGGAGGTACTGAAAAATTTTTAAAAATAATTGTATTTCCGAAAATAATTTTAAAAAATTGATACAATTGAAAATTTTGTCAAATTTAATTGAAATAAATTTTATATTTTAATGAATTTTATTTGTTTACTTTTAAAAATTATTTTGAAATATAATCGTATTTTTGAAGAATTCTAATTGAAAATTTGGAAAATAATTGAATTTAAAAAAAATTTAGCATAAACTTATTACCAGGAATGTTACAGTGGTACTCAAAAGTTCAATTATTTAATCAAAAACATCTTACATTCAAGTTGCTGTTAAAAATATCTTTGCCATTTCTATACAAGTTGTTCAAATAATTAAATTTAAAGAAAAACTTGTAGAAAAATTATGTTTTTTAAAAAATGAAGAATTTTCATTAAATTTCAAAAAGCAAATTTTTTCAAGTAACAATGGCAACGAAAATTTATTGTTTTGCTACTTAGAATTAATAAAACAATTATAATTACAATCAAGATTCCCTGTGAAATTCAATGCAAATTTCAATTATAATTTCTAATCAAATTTTATTTGAACATAAAATTTATTTTATTTGACAGAAAATTTTAGTCAGAATTATTTGGAAGTTCTATCAAAATTTCAATTTTAATTTTGATTAAAGTTTCTTTGAAACCCTATAAATTTAAATTAAAATTTCAAATAGAATTCTTCTGAAATTTAATATCAATTTCAATTTTCAATTATAGTTTCCTTTCAAATTTTATTCTCCTCGTGGAAAGCCTTAAAATTTATCTTAGAAACAGAATTCTGTTGCTCGGGTTTAAAACCTTGTATTCATGTATTACAAAATTACAATACAATTGATATATTACTATTAAAAGTTTAAAACTATAAACGAGGAACTTTATACTCAATTAATTTCGAAAATAGAACTAAATTTACATTTCATACATTGAATTATTGAGAATTAAATGTAAATTTCAATTTAATTATAAACGGAAATTGTAATTAAATTGTAAATGTACACATTGTAATTAAATTATTGTTATGAAAATTTAAAATCGTAAAAAATATATAGAATTAAAAAGAGCTAGATGTACACGTATATATGTATAGACGTAAGAAAAATGAGAAATAAGGTTTGCTCCTTTTTTAAAATGAACACTTTTAGATGATGAAAATTTTAAGCTGGTTTTATCTTAATGAAAAATGGGTTTTTATGAGAATGTTAAAAAGATGAGAGAGGAAAGCGTGTGCATTTCTTTAAGTAGAAGTTGAATTTATTTACTAAAAATTCTTTTTTTCCTGTTTTATCATTTTTAGACTCCGCTTTTACGGAACGCGTTTTAGGAGCACCAGCAGAGAATTTTAAAGGCTATGTGGAGGCTGATTTGACGCAACGTGCCAGATTGGTACCAAGTAATAGCCTTTATCTTCTTCACGGCTTAGCCGATCTTACAGCGCCTTACACGCACGGCGTTGCCTTTGCCAAGGCCATGTCTGAGGCAGGAGTGATCTTCAGATATCAGGTGATTTTTCTTTTTCAATTTTCCGAAAAAAAAGACCGACAATATTTAGTCTACTTTTTTATTTCAATTTTTTTTTATTATAGAATTATTTTCCACTTTTTAAATTTTTGTCTTTTAATTTTTATTGACACAGATTTTCTAAGAATATGAAATTAAGACAAAAAACAAATTATTTTTTTTATTTTTAATTTGTTTTTTGTCTCAATTTGATATTCTTAGAAAAACTGTGGTGTAACTTTTTCATAAAACTGATATTTAGATATAAAAAGGAAAGTAGGATATTTATATTTACTGAAATGAGTAAAAATTCTGTAAAACTAAAATACATTTTTACTACTGATTTTGAATTTTTAAAATTTTAGTAATCTTGTCTGACTAAAACTGCTTTTAACCACTGAAACTATTATTACAATTATTAAAAAATTCTGTCTTACTAAAAATCAGTTTGATTATTTTTCCTTCCTTTATGAATTGCAAAATTAAAAATTTATAAATTAAAATTAAGTGGAATTGATAAGAATTTATTTTTCCTACTGAAATAGAAATAAATGTTCAGTCTGATTAAACCATGTCCGTACTACTGGTCGTAAAATTTCACAAAAAGTTTAAATATCTTCGTGACAAAAAATAAACTTCTTCAAATTTCTACTTCCTTAGATTTTCCAAATAAAACTAATTTACACCCCTGATAATACTTAAATTTGCTAAAAAATGCCAATTTCTAGTTACTAAAAATTATCTTACATGACTTTTATCAAAAGTACATAAAATCGGTTAAAAGTTCAATCTGATTAAAAATCTCTTTTATTTTAAAATAAACACAATTTTTTTTTTAAATTAAAGAATTCGTCACTTCCGTCTGACAAATATCATTTTAAATAAAATTTTAAAACTAATGATTAACTATAAAATATGGACGATAAGAATTTAAAGATTTAAGAGCCACACACGATACGATATTCGACATTAAAAAAAAGCAGGATCATAAAATTTTATATCATTTCTGCTCCGCTTTTATAATCCATTATATTTTTCACGTTCAACGCAAAAAAAAGAAAAATTCTGTCAAAAAATAAAAAGAATTTACTTTTTATTCCGTGTATTTTTTAAAATTGTATTTTGTTATACGTTTGGCTCTCTCAATAGTCTCAATTTGTTAATTCATGATTATTTTTTCGAAAACAATTTTATTATAATATAAATTCGTTACCATTTTAACTAATTGTTTATTTTATTTATTTATGTTGGTAAAATTGGTGTTACGGACCTGCAACTGTTACTGAGCGCCACCAGGTGTTCATTCTCATTACTATTTTTACATGTCTTAGCAAATGTATCGCTCTTAACTTAAAAGTATCGCTCGGTTTATATTATCAAATAAATGTGATCGAATAATACATTGTGCTCGTTTAATTGTGTCAAAGATCCCAGACCTTTAACAATTTATAAAAGAGTTTTATTTATTTATATTTATATTTCACCCTGAGAAAAGTACGATAGATTTTATAAGATTAAAATTTTTGAAATGACGTTTTCTTTTGGCTTTCCGCATTTAATTTAAAAATATTCTTACTTTTTATTCAACTAGAGAACAATTACATACTTTTTTAAAATATAGGAGCAGTTTAAAAGAAGTATTTAAATTTGTTTTATTTGCCAAAAAGTCAGAAACAAAAAAAAATGACAAGAGAATTTAATCTCAATTAAAATCAATTTTCGAAAACCCTGATCAATGTTTTTGGAGTAAATAAAGTGATACTTTTAACTTTTTTATTACGTCAATAAATTTTCACCCACATAGAAAAACCTCTTTCAAAAAAAAAAAAAAAAATTTCTAGTTTCTAATATTTTTAATTCTTTTTTGATAAACGAGTGGCTAAAAATGACAATAATAAGTATAAATATCAAAATATTCTGAATATTTTGTTCCTGGAAACATAAAAAAAAAATAAAAATAAGTTTCTCATTTTATATTATCAATGGATGACTTACCCCATTGAGAGTGTTGTGAAGTTGACATCTGAAACAAAAATTTTAATATAGTTTTTCATTTAATTATAAAATTGCATTTTATACATATTTTGTTGTTCATATTATCACTTTTACATACATTGATTAAGTTATTGAATATATTTAATTATAAAGTATGCGTTTAACTTCAAACTATGGAACATATTCAATTTTATTTAATACTATTTTTAATTATTATATTTAATTTTACTTTAATTATTAAATATATAGGTATTTAATTTCAAAATAATATATCTATTTAATTATGAAACTAATTTTGCTAATTGCAAATTAATCTTATTAAGATCGTCAGTATTTTATCAAAGAAAGTGACACTTGTTGAATTAGTCAAACGTAACTAATATTCCAATTTAGAGAGTATCATTTATTTATGTTATTAATCCTAATAAAAATAATTAATTCAAAAACCCGGAAGCAATAATTTTGGATTAAAATATTTTTAATGATATAAATAAAAAAAATAATTTTATACCGAAACATTTAAAAAAATCATTTTATATTATATAAAAGAAATAAATAAAGAAATATGTAGTTAATTGAGGTAACTAAAAACCCTAAAAATCCCAAGTAGCAAAATTTATGTAAATTTGATCACTTAAAAAAAATTTTAACGTCTACCATATTGGATCCGACATTTTGAATTTTGAGAATTTGACTCCAGATTCGTATTCAGCGATTTTATGAAAAACAAACAAATTTTATCAGATTTCCAATACATTTGATAAAAAAAAGGTTTTTGGGTAGCTAAATATTCGTATTTAAGGAATCAAGTAGAATCTTAAAAATTCAAAATGGTGGATTCAATATGGTGGACGTTCAATTTTTTTCTATAATAAAATTTATTTGAAACCTGCTTTCCGGGGATTTTTGGGATTAATTTTACATTTGTTCGAAAATTTTTCATTTTTCGAAAAAAAATATTTTCTAATAATGAAAACAAATTTTTAATCATTTATAACAAAGAGAAATTTTTTTCAGAGTTACGCTGACGAAGATCATGCCCTGTCAGGTGTGCTCGAGCACGCCTATCGTTCCATGGAGGATTTCCTAGCAACTTGCCTCGTTCTGGATCCCTCCTAGTGCCTCAAAACCCATTACTTCCTCGTTATCGACGCCGCACATTTTGCTTCTAATAAAATATGATCAAATAAAAGAAAAAAAAAGAACTCCAACAAAAGCGTCGCCAATAGGAACCGCCACGCGGAAGAAACGATGGGATGAAGAATCGTGATTTTAATGAATTGTCGACATGAGAAACGTATAATAATAATAATATTAATAATAAAAAATAATATTAAAAATCGAACTTGCACCTTCCAAGTTTCTTCTAGATTTATTTGATAAGTAAAATTAAGGTCGTTTGTTGTTAATGCAAATCAAATTGATAAAGAAAAAGAGTGTGAATGAATTTAGAGAAAGAGATGAAAAAAGATTAAAAGAGAAATAAAAACGAGAATAACGTGTGTGTGCCTGCGAAAGAAATTTGAAAAAAATATATCTGAGGATCACTTTAGTTGCGAAAAAAAATTAATTCTTACGAAAACAGAGTAAAACCAACAAATAATCGAAAAAAAAGGGGATTCCATCATATTTGTACGATATCGTTAAAGCGTTATAATACTCATCATGCATCGTTATACGAAACTCTCTTTGCTATGGCGAAAATTATTCGCTTTTTTCGCTGGATCATCACAACACAAAATTGAAAAATCGACTTTAGATTTTTATTCAATTTTTTTATTTTTAATATTCATTAGATTGAAATATATTTAAATGAATTACATTTGGAGTGAAATATCCTTAAGCTTAATAATTAATTAAAATATATTGAACTAAAATATATTCAACTGGAATATATTGAACTAAATTTCAAACATATATTTTACTGAAATTTATTGAACTGAAATATATATTGAATTAAATGTATATTTAACTAAAGTACATTGAGCTAAAATATATTAAATCAAATTATATTTAATTATTGGATTGAAACGTATTATATTGAATAAAAATTTCGATTAAAATTTAAAATACATTTGACTGAAATCTATCTAAATAAATTATATTTAAGTAAAAGATATTGAACTGAATTTTAAAAAACTAAAATATACAAAAAAATAAAACAAATCTAATTTTAAATACAAAATATTAAAATAAAAAAGTAAATATTATTATAATCAATCATAATTATAAAAATAATTATACAATAATTTTTGGCAAAATATACCAAAGAAAATGAAAGTTTAAAAAAAAGTCAAAAGGAAAAAATAATTAAAATCTAAAGTCGATTTTTCTTTCTCTAAAATCACACAGCCATTAAAGGTGATGATCCAGAGCCTAAAAAAATCGTTGTGCCATCAGCCTACGTTTTCTTAAAAAAAAAAAAATAAAATAAATAATGCTGACCTAAGTTTTTACTGTACAGCTTTTATGCCTAATACATATACTAACTATAAAGTTTCGCGTCTAGGAAAAGTCGTTCCCCTTTGTCGACATTAAAACTATTTGTAAATAATTACCCCCCCCCCTCTTTACTATTCGACACAAATACATTCAAAAAATACACCTGTCGATCGACAACACATCAAAAATCGCACTCTCAGCAAAAGAAAAAGAAAACGATAAAAAAAAATAAATTAAATAAAATAATCAGCAAATTCAATTTTTAATAGTTAATAGAAATTTTTCAAATCTTTCCACAAATCAAATTTTGTTATAATTATTAAAGAATAAAGAAAAAAAAAGTTAATGAATTGTTGCGATTGCTATATTTGTTATTATACAAATTATATAGAGAAGAAAAAAATTTGAAAAACTGTTATACAGTTTGTAAGTTGTTAATAATGATTAAAACTTTTTTTTATTTGGTATGATTTCATCTATTTGTATAATATGCAACTAATGCGAAACATTTATAAGTTTATTTTTTGGTGTGAGAACGGTGCAATTTTTTAGGTCGACAAGGCGCGCTCGAAGAATCGCACGCCAAAAAATAATAATAAATAAAAAAAAAAAATATTGCTGTACGACAGCAGCCCTTATATGCCGACAATCAAGGCTAGTGCAACTAATCAAACAATAAAAAAAAAGAGGTACTAATACCGATATTATTAATTATTGTGAGGAAAACTATGTCGTTCGATCGTAATGTAATTTATATGTTCACGCGAAGTTTCGGTGTCTTCGGCAAAAAAAAAAAAAAGAAAAAAAAAAATTGGAGAAAAAGTGACACAAAATAAAAAGGAATAAAATTTATTATTTAATGTAAATTTTAATTTTTAAATTAGATATTAATTTGTAAATTAATTTCAACAATGTGATATCGTTATTAATATAGTACAAAACTAATATCAATTAATTTTCCTTTGCTTCTTTTTCCCAAATATGGAAAAAATTACTCATTGAATAAATTTCTCATCATTTTAGAAATTTGAAAAAGAAATCAAATTATTCTTTTTTCTTAATAAAAATAATTTAAATAGTATTTCTCCCACAATTATTTATTTCTTCATATAAATAGTTTCTCAGTGGAAAAAATTGTACGATTGTTATTTTATATAATATTTATTTTTTATTATTGAAAAAATATATTGACATAAAAAAGTCTTTTTAGGAATGAGCAATTTTTCCCTTTGGGAAAAAAAATTTAAATGAAAAAAAAGTTTCATATTTGTACTGAAATGTAAAAAAAAATAATTATTATCAATAAATAATTATTTGATATTAAAAAAATGACTAGAAACAAAGGAGAAGAATAATTAGTTAATAAATAAAATTGGTCACTAAATAATCAGGGTGTAAAAAAAGCCTTCGTGTCATTAAACGTCCAATTACCGAGCTTCGAGTGATTGTGTGGAGAAATATTTACTTCAACAATAGTAAAATTTGCAGATAAAATAATAAATCAAATTTTATTTTAATTTCTATTTTATCTTCAATGTAATATATAATAATTATTTTAATAATAATTAATTTACCAATTATTTTAATGATGATTAATTTACTAATTATTTGAAAAATAAGTAATTTAATAATAACTTTAAAAATAATACATTAAATATTTATTTTAATAAGTATTTTAATAATTATTTTAATAATTATAAAAAGTGAATTTATCATTCGGCAGTTAAATATTAAAGGAGAAAGAAGCTATTAATTTAATAATTTAATAATTGTTTTAAAGATAATTAAATAAATAATTATTAACAATATAATAGTCACAGTTTACTAATTAATTTGATAAAAATTATTTTACAAATTATTTTAATGACAATTAAGAATTAATTCAATAATTATTATTAATAATAATAGTTTACATATTATTTTAATTTAATAATAATTAGGGTAAAAATTATCAATTTATTTTTCTATTTCACAAATATTAAAATTAAATGCAAATAAATATGTAGTACTAATAAAGAATAAAAATAATAATTAATTAAAAATATTTAAATTATTTTACACTTTTTAAAAATCAGTTATTTTAATAGAAATATATATATATATACAGAATCAAAATTAATTATAAATTAATTCAAGAAAAATATTTTAGCGTATAATTAGAAAAATCAAAATTTTACTAAAATTGAGGTAAGAAATATTTCTCAAAAATGCATTAAAGACAGAATAGGTATAATATTAATTAATGAAAATAGGTGTAATAAGATAGGTGAGCGATTCTACAAAAGGAATAATAATGTCGACCGTCGAAAAAATAAAAAAAATAAAAAAAAACATTCACTTCGGATCAACGGATAACTTTCCTTTTACTGAAGGAAGCTCGTTGTTCCTTACCGAAGGCTGATTAATTTAGAACCCGGTTCGGTCCGAAGGAGCAAGAAAAGTGTCACGTAAGATATGTATAGTGTAAAAATGTTTAAATTTACGTTAAAATTGTATTTTAATTATATTTTAATCAAATTTTAATTAATTAAAGTTCCAATTACTATTTTGGATAATTTGGAATTTTTATTTTGAAATTTATTTTAAAATTGTACTTTAATTAAATTTTTTTTAACAAATAATTTAATTAACTAATTTTCTAATTTCTGTTTCGGATAATTATTTGAATTTTGTTTTATTTTTACATTTTTTTATACACATTTAAAATTTAATTAAAATCATTGGACTTATACTTTTTAAAAAGAATTTATTTATTATTATATTCTTAATTTTATATATTTTAACAGATTTTTTCTTTATTTTAAAGAAGAAAAGAATTAATAGAATTTCAGAAAATATTTATAAATTTCTATAATGGTAATAGTTTACACAATTTGCTGATGAAATTTTCAATTATGTTTGATATTTAAAACAAAATTTTTAAGCTATGAAAATAATTAAATTTGTGCCTACAAAAAACATCCTCCTTCAATTTGTCAATAAACCGTGGAAAACAATAGATTTTAATCGCAAACATTGTTAAAAGAAATATTAAAAATTATTTTTCTATAGTTTCTTGCAAAACCAATGCAAAAAGTTTGTTAAAAATATGTTTAAAATCTCGTGCTTAGAAAAATAATTCTTTCTGATTTTTCTAATGAAACGTTGCAAATTATTTTTTGCAAATAAAACTTTGTTCTAAGAGAATTAATTTTTTTTAATTTCTACAAAAAAATGTTTTTTTTCTGAAAAAAGATTTCGTTTTCAAATAAAAAGAAAAATTTGTTGAAACGAAAATTTAAATTACGTTTTTAAAATTTTTTAAATTGTTTTTTAAATTGATGAAATTTAAAATTTATTTATTTAAAAATCATAATTGTTTTTCTCCCACAATTCTTACGTGATTCTTATCCAAGCCACGATCAATTATTAAATCTAATTAATGACAAAAATCGATTATAGTTGTACTGTATTTAATAATAATGATCAATGCGATGGCAAACAAAAAAAAAGCACGCGTATTATGAATTTCTTGCAAGAAATCTTGGTAGCAGCGCATAGAGATATCTATAGCTTTGGTATAACTTAATATCGCCGCTAGCATTATAATGACGACGCCGATTCACGCGTAATTCGACGTGTGAAAAAATAAAAAAAAAATAAAATAAAAAATTCAGATTTATTATCAAAACTGTCAGTTTCGTTAATTTAACGACTTTTATTTTACTCAGGGATCACTTTTGTCAAATCATAATCATACAAATCAACCTCGTTAAAAAAATAAACTTCATAAATGTTTTTTATTTTTTAATTTTTTTATTCTATGTTATATATAAATATATATATTCACATTCCAGTAAGAATTGGAATGACGATGATTTATATTTTAGGCCTGAGACATGAATATATGAAAAAAAATTGTATATTGAATATTTAATGTTATAGAATAAAATAATGACTATTGATATATAGTTAATATATAAATATGAATTTGTAGATTTTGATTTGCACAAAAGAGAATAAACCTGAAAAGCCTCAAAAAGTCTACGTCAATTAAAAAAAAAAATAAACTGGAGTTGCTAATGCATTAGTAAAAAAAATGTTTCTCTTCCTTTTTTTCTCGTGTAAATTAAAACTTGACAGTTTTGTTAAATAAAATCAGCTATCTTCCATATGCAAACACCTAAACAGAT